TCTACCAACAATGACTCTACAGGACGCAAATCTGCGGTTTGATCCAGGGTTTCCTGACTGCGACTCAGCAAAACACATGGGCTCTCCCTTTGCCCGGCACCACGTCATACAGAGTGACGAAAACATAGGGAAGTGTCACTGTCTGCCTTTGAAAGTAAGTTTAGAGCCAGGCAGAAAAAGTTTTCACCCTAAAGAATATTTGGGTACCTGCCCCAAGGCATTTTCTACCTGATTGTCAAAGAGTTGGTAACATTTTCAGTTACTCTCAAGATGAAAACCTTCCTTGGGGCAGGTCCCCCCTTCCCCAACTCCCACGCTGACCCAAGGTGCCTCCTGACTTCTGTCTTGAGGCAAGCACCAAGCAGATGCACAGTGGATCCTCAGAGTGTTCCTCAGCCTTTAAGTGCTTCAGAAACCCCTTTAATCTCTTTTTACCACAAATGATGAAGCAGAAAGAATGGAATGAGAGGCTCTTAAACCTGGAATTTACCTCCAAGACCATCCAGTCTCTTCTTATGGCAGACAAGGGCTCAGGAGCTCAGGGACCGGAAATGGTTGGCCAACCTCGTTGATGACTGAACTACCAGGTCTCCTGGCTCCTAATGTCGGTGTGTCCGAGTTCGGGTTTCCATACTGCCTAATAGATGGGTAATATTTTCAGACACCCTCCACCCCAGCCCATAAACAGAAAATCTTCAAATGCAGTTTGTAGTGTCTAAAATGTGCAGGGATCTGCACACAGACACACACACACAGACCGGTGGGGGGTGGGAATGGATCATTCTCCCATCTTCATTTCCAGAAACCAGTTCCTACAGTCGGGAAAAGGTTTGCCACAAGGCTGGAGAAGCCCTTTGCATTTACAATCTGGTCATTCTGGAGGGGTGACCCTAGGACTCCTCAGCTGGACGTTAATGGCTGATTAATTCAGGAAGCTTATTTATTTTGTGACCAGTAGAGCTCTGTTTCACAGAGAGAGGGCCGTGTTGGCAGGTGCGGAGCCCAGCTCCCCAGATGGAATAATCTTTTCCTTATTAATTTGCTGCATGTTGTTTCTCATTTCTCGCAGCCGTTCCAAATGTGTTACAAACGACTAGATGCTCTGGGTCCTGAAGCCACTACTGCAGTAGCTTTGAAAGGAAAGAAAAATAATTGTTGCCTATAAACTGTAGTGAGCTTTCCCGGCACACATTCCGGGCTTGCTTTTAACTCATCAGCGTATCTCCAGCACTGAGCACTGCTCCACCCAGGAGCACTCGTGCTCTTGGTCTAGAAAATGGAAATGTAGACAGTTTGAAGGATGTCTGCAGGGCCATGGAAAGAGGTGGTGGCTCGGCTAGGAGTGGAGCTCGTGGTTCCCTTTCTTGGGCTATGCTACCCTCCTGTTATCTAGAAGAATGCATGGCAGGCTGGCCATTTACTCCCCATAGCCCAGTGGTTGTCAAACTTGAGGGGGCATCAGAATCACTGGAGGACTTGTTAAAAACATAGGTTGGCCGCCCTCCCTCCCCCCAGCCCGGAGCCTCTGATTCAGCAGGTCTGGGGTGGGGCCTGAGAATCTGCATTTCTAACAAGTTCCTGGATCTGCTGCTGCTGGGGGTTGGAGAGCACAGCTTGAACACCACTGCCTCAGCCAATGAGAGGAGGGTGGGGTACCGCTCATCTCAGTCAACGCTGCTGCTGCTGTCTTTTGGAGAAGGTCTCTGACGTTTAGAGGGTTTCTATTTTGTCTTCTTCCTCTTTCCCCCCTTGATATGCACCAAATTCTAGTTTAGAAACTTTTTTTCCCCATGTTAGGGCTCAAAGGAGAATGTAGCTTGACTAAATTAACTTGAATGTGTACTGCAGTACTTGACGTGGATTTTTCCAAAACGTGAGCACTTAAGCTAGACAGAAATATTTCCCCCGGGTTTAGCTGTTCCACGCAGACTGGGTCCTGGGACAGAATACAGCACGGAAGTGCAGTGCTGCAGAAGCATCCTTACGATGATTTCTAAATGTAGAACTTACATCTCAAGCTCAGCCTTTCAACCTACAGTTTTTGGTTATTCACAGGTTTAAGACATGCTGTCTTTAACCACTGTGTTTTGTGTGGAGTATTTTAGGACAGAAGGGCTTATTTTTCCAAAGGAAAAGTACTTCTGTTTTGCCAGATACAAAAAATTAGCAGCGCACACAAATATATAGGGAATGTAAAGGTCCTGTTTAGTGTGTGTGCATGTGTGTGAGTGCGCAAGAGTGTGTGTGGTGCGATTTAATTAATCGGAAGACCAGCTTTTACAATTCCATGCTACTGACAACACTGAGCCTACAGAATTGTTGTTATTCAGACAAGCAAATGCCAGGCTGGGGAGCTCCTGGTCTGGTGTTTCGTGCCCAGCAAGTAATTAGAGACCTGAGGTGAAGGCCTATGGAAATCCTATAGAATGTCACATAAATGGCTCCTTCTTGATGAGGAATATAATGTGTAAGATCACAATACTTTTCTGTTAATATTTAAACATGTTCTTCAGGCAATTTACTGCATCTGATCACATATCCAAAAGCAAGGAAGCTGGTGTAGGGGTTGGGTGAAATAGGTGAAGAGGATTAAGAGGGGCACACATCCAGTCATAAGTAAGTCAGGGGTGTAAGGGACAGCACAGAGAACAGAGTCAACAACAGTGTCATAACTTTGTATGGTGACAGATGGTTACTAGACTCATCAGGGTGATCACTCCATAATGTATGTGTCGAATCACTATGTTGTACACCTGAATCTAATAGGATATTGTGTGTCAACTATACTTCAATTAAAAAAAAAGGAGTTTGCCTTTTTTTATCTGTAAAGAATTAAAATGGTGGCTAGAATTGAAGGGATAGATGAACATTCTCAAAAGACCAGGGCCAGAGGTGCGGGCAGGGCCTCTATTAGCTGGACTGCACAAACCCTGGCTGGTTTGGAGGGGCTGCTCCTACCCCAGTCACTAAGTTTGGCTCTTGGGTGGGGAGTTCACCCACCCCCCAGAACCAACCGCCAGTTAGCTTAATGTAACCAACAAGAGTCAGATTCCCAGCCCTCCCTCCCCCAGTCAACCAACCAACCAACCTTTACAACAACAGTTAGAACAACCCATGGCTAAAAAGATGGCCCAGATTCCATCACTAATTTTGCTGTTCAACATTCTCAGGTTGGATCAAATCCACGGATGACTCTTTCCAGGTTAAATACTTTATCTATCTACATTTATGTACATATATTGTTTCTTATCCCAATTATTAACATTCTTCACTTAACAATGGCTTACCAAAACACGCAGCCACTTCCACTTGAAGTGCCGTACAGAACAGGCTCGATGTGAGAACATGGAGAAGACCTGCATGTTTACATCAGGCTTAAGCCCCTCCTGCTGCTGGAACACCGGCTGGGCTGCTGCCAGGCCTGAAGCCTTTGGCTGCAGCTCATAAGGTGTCTGACATTTTATCCAGAGTCTAGGAACCACTTACACGAATAAGGGGAAATTTAACGCTGATTCTAAGATTTAGTTCGGATTCTCACTCAGAACTGTGATAATAGTATCCATAAACTTAGTCCAGTTAATAAAAAGAAAACTTGATAGACATAGCTAATGACCACAGAGCCTTATCAATACGGTGAAAAACAATTGATCAAAGCAATAATCTGGGTTCTTTCCAGGCATCTTACTGGGTAAATAGGTTTAACAGCTTGCACCCAATGAATGGAGTACAAGTTGGCTCCTCCCATTAACCCCAAGGTGGTTCATTTAGTAGATGCCTCCCCTTTTTATTTGTTTCTCTGACCTAGTCTTCCAATGAAAACTCCCAGTGATGTTTACCAAACTCAACTTCAAGTAATTTGAATGTCACATTTAATTCTCACTTCTTTTTCCTCAACACTTTGAAAAATATTTCAGTCTTCTTCAACTATGAAAATTGGTTAAGCCTGAAGTTTACCCAAGTTCTAATTCCATGGCTGGGCTCCTGCCTTGACTGGCAGTCAAGGGCTTCTCTGAGAGTTTAGAGTACTTTGCAAGCTCCCTGGACAGACCAGGATCGAGTAATTCATCTCATTCGATCTGCTCCTGCATATACACAACGCAAGTCGATGTTTGTTATGACTTTCTTGATCCTTATTTATAAGACAATACAAGAGGAAACCATGTGTGTATGTTTGAAATAGGAATGATACATTGCACAGATATAGTTCACCACGTTCTGGGATGGGTTGTCAGTGTTCAAATGGGGAGCCTGAAGAGTAGGAACAGATGCTTTTTTTCCTTAATGGCTCTTTCTCTAATTTAAAATCCTTCCATTTATTTCCCTAAGATTTAGTGATAACTTTAAACACTTTAACTAAATTACCCAGCGGCTTGGCAGCCATCACAGAGGCAAATCCTTTTAGAAATCCTAGCAATCTGTTAGATCGTGGGTACTGTGATATAAAATCTGCATGCTCCATGTACAAAAATTAAATCAGTGCAATGGATACAAAACATAATGCAAATGGCACCATTTCCAAACTGAAGGTACATGACCTGTCTCTAAATATTGAATTTCTCTGTTTTTTTCAGTCATTGACTTTCTAAATTTGAGCCAATTTATTCTCATTATCCCTAAGTAAACCTACTTAGACTTTTTTAACAGTTATTTTATAATCAAATAGAGCCAGCCAGCCCTGATTCACAGATCCTGATGTTGCTAGGATACATGGTTTGGGACTTGATGAAAGTATATCACTTCAAAGGGGAAAACTTCCAAGTGTCCTAGAAAATGACACTCCCGTCTTCCCCTGTGGAAGACAGGCCCAATCCTGGAGCTTCCTGGATGCTCACAGACTGCAGGACTGGCCTGCCATACTTTGAAATCAGCATCCTCTCTGGAGGGCTGTGCAATTGCTCAAATAGTCAGGTGGGTCTTAAAACAAGGAACACACATATTTATAACGCAACACGTTTTCATGTTTGTTTTACAGTGAAGAGAAAAAACCCAGAACCCCCAGATTTTATGTACTTTGAAAATATATTTAAAAACATTAAAAATTCTATATTTAAAACATATATTATATGTTAATTAGTACACTTAAATAGAACTTGTATTTACAATAGGCTTCTGATGCGGTTAAGTTTTAATGCCAATTTTTTCAATAACATAATTATATAAATATACTAAAATACAATAAATATTTTTTTTTGTTTTACATGGTGAATAATATCTTTACCATAGAGAGAACAAGGCCACAGACATTTACTTACATTTTCAATGGGAATCACCATAAAAAAGCAACAGGCCTGCTGCCATGCATGAAACACTTCTGCCACAAAGAGACCACAGCAAGACTTTAAAAAACAAAACAAAACAGAAAAAAAATGAACAGCAACAGAGAGAGATTTTAACAAAAATAAATCTTAGGTCAACGTAAACCACCAAGCATGGGACTGTGATGTATCTTGTTGGGGAAGAGAGAGCCAGTGACCAGGCAAGTGCTGAATGTCGCCTCCTCAACCACTTAACAGATCTGGCTTTTGCTCTACTTTGAGGTTGTGATGGGGACTTTTTTATGTTTTATAATTTTGTCCCTGGGAAGGAGGGTACAAAAAATGAACATATAGCAGGTATTCTAAGTATTCATTACATGTTAAAAATAATTACAAAGACAGTATTTTCAAACAGCACAAAACATAACTATACTACATAAAGTCTTCCTTCTTTTAAAGACAGGTATTCAGATGGTCCTGTAAAAGACAGGCTCATTCTAAATGAAAGACTGAACAAATAGAAATTATTTGCTGATGGTATCTTCATTCCCCGGGTCATGGTGGACATCCTCTTTTGCTTATCCCTCATCCTACTAAGATGCAGCAAATTTCTCCAGGCTTTCTGATACTCAAAGACACTGGCCCAGGACACTTTCAGGTTTAGAGAGTGGGCTAAATGGGCTTAGCCCATTTTCACTGGGGTCCATTTTTCCCAGGACCACTATTCCAGGATCTCAACTTGACTTCTCCTAACCCCGGATGGCAGAGATGAGGCAGGGCACCTCTCCCTGGACAGACAGGATGGCAGGAGGTTGCTGTGGCCTTCACGGGGGGCAGAGCTTCATCAGCTCTGTCCTGGCCTCTTCCATCTGGCAAGAACCTTCAAGCCTTCAGCGTCCTGGATGTGCAGACGCCTTCCCCAAGTCTTGTCTCTGGACAAGATTTTCTATCTGCAGCCTTGATCATCCAACCTGAGTTTTGGGGCCTTTTCCTGTCCCCTTCCCCTTTACCGAAAGTTCTCAAAAGACAAAACCCTGGTTTCCTCAAGTCTAATTTCAAAGCAGTAAGTGTTCATGAGGCAAACATCTTCTATGTCATCTGTTAATCTCAGGATCACAATGCCACACTTGGTTCTGAACCTGCTCCAGGCTAATCCAGCGTTATGCAAAATGATCCAGGGTGGAGGCGTAAGTCGGCTTGAGCGTGGTCCTCCAGCGAGAACCTCTTAGCGCAGTTAGATAATGTAGGCACTTAAAGCGCGAGGTCCAAGCAACTTGACACGTCATCCCAGAGCCAGCTCTGAAGGGTCCTTCAGAAGCCTCCCTTTCGGAATGTCTCAAGTACCATTCCCCACCCCCACCTAGACCTCAGGATGGCCACTCAGAAATTCCCCCTGCACCGCCCGGAAATGACATGTCTGCTCCACACAGCCTCCAGATGGCTGGTCAGTCTCATGTCACTGGCAGTGTGGACTCCTGCTCTGAGCTAGGCATTTCTGTGTCCATACAGAACTCCCCCTTTTGCTTGCAAGACATTTTTAAGCCTTACCGTGATTTTTTTTTAAGCCTTACCAAGATTTACCCAACTGTTTACCCCTCATAAAAAAGAATATTTATTTTTGAGTTATTTTATTGTTCTTTTTCTCTTCTAAAAAAAGGAAATCCCTGTTCTCCATGCTTACACGAGGGCCACGATATGACAGAGTCTGTTCACTTGTTCACAGTAGTGGTGAAATACTTCAGAACGCATAACTGATTTTTCTTCCTTGAGCGAAAACGAAACAAAGAGAGGAGCAAGGGGGGAGAGGGGAAAGAATGTGCTCAAAGTAAAGGTGGTCTCTCTGACAGAAGAGCTCCCCTGACCATGGCCCACGGCGCCCGCCGAGGAGGTGCGTCCCAGGAAGCCGGTGAGCACCTCGTTCAGTCGCCTCCATTTTTATTTACTTTCCAGTCATCTGACTGATATTGCAAACATCTTTACAACATACAAATGAGTCTTTTCTTAATCAGAATATATACTGAAGGAATTCCTTCCCCATCCCTACTCCCTATGGGAACTAAAAGAAAAACAAAAACAAAACAAAACAAACAAAAGAAACACAAAACAAACGAAAATATACCCCGCCCGTTCCCCGTCCCCTACGCCAGTAAAGCGATGACAACAGCACCTTGACATTGTTTTAATTCCAACGTATCAGAAGTTAAAAGCGGTAAAACAGATCGAGTACTAACAAGAACGAAGATACTTACTGTCTAAAATGTAAACGGAAGGTTTTGGTTCAGATTTTTGTTGGTTTTTTTTTTTTTTGTCTGTTTTCTGAAAGAGGACAGTTTATTATCAATTCACAATTAAAGCAGCATGCAATTTATTATTATTTTTTTTTAACTTTTTACGTTTTCAATTCTTGGCAACGGCAACAAACCACAACATTATCGAGGAATGTAATGTAGACTTTTTAAAGTTGTGCGCAAAAGGACTGTTTCCCTTCTGGTCATGGATATGTCCAATAAATAGATTGTAGAACCACTGTACTGTATAAACTTCATTTATACATGCAGTTCATAAAATTATTTTTTTCTTAACTGAATAATTTACCCTGTTATGTATATATACAAATAGATAATTTTTGTCTCCATATAATCTATACAACATAAAGCCACTATCTTCCCCTTTTAATGGTCAATGTACATACACAGGAAGTGTCTATCCTTATGAACCGCCAGCCGATTCTCTTTTTGCTATCCATGGTGAGGGCCCGCACGTACGACTGCGTAGTTCGGCATTGGGAGTTCCAGTGCCTTTTGTCGATGCCCCTGCAGCCCTCCTTCGTGTAACCCATGGGGTTGCACTTGGTCTCGTAGAAGTACTGCTTCAGCTGGCCTTTTGACACAGGGACCTTCTCCAGGACCGTGACCGTCCCGCCCGACATGTCCACTGCAGTCTTCTTATCCGCCGCCGTGACCCACTCACTAATGCTGTCGCACACGCTCAGCTCCCCGCGGCGGGCCGGGTCAGAGTGGCGCCGGACCCTCATCGACATGTTTGCAGCATCCAGGTAATTTTTGTATTCCTCCAGCAGAAAGAGAAGAGGAGGCTCCAAAGGCACTTGACTACTGAGCATCACCCTGGAAGTGTACAAGTCCGCGTCCTTATTGTTTTCTTCACTGGGCCGCACTTTCTGATCCTCATCCAACAGCTCTTCTATCACGTGTTCGAAAGTGTCAGCCAACGATGTCAGGCCTCTTGAGCCTGCCTTGGGCCCATTCACGCTCTCCAGAGTCCCATGGGTCCGCACAGCTGGGAAGGCCAAGCTGCCTTGTCCTCGGACGTTTGCTTCTTTCATGGGGGCAGCCTTCATGCAACCGAAGTATGAAATAACCATAGTAAGGAAAAGGATGGTCATCACTCTTCTCACCTGGTGGAACTGTGGGGAGAAAGCAGAGACAGGACACAAAACCGGTTAGGGCTTTCTTTGGCAGGATGCAACGCAGCCCATCTGACTGTAATTCCAGGCCATTCTGCAGGGTCAGGGATTTTTACGTATTGGTGATAAACTCCAGCTGCACCAGACACAAGTTCATGTCAGTAGTGTGCTGTATGTGGTTTAATATAAACTAGAGACGGGCAGTGTTCGCCCCAAGATTTAGTATATAAACCCCAGTTAGATGGCTTCTAAGCAAGTGAAAAAATTGTGGCTTCAAGTTCTCCTTCCTCTCACTTTAGCAGCTTTGGAAGTTTAATTTTTAATGATCTCTGCTGTCACAAGAAACACAGAATCACAAATGTTATTAAGCAACAACAGCAAGTGTAATAGTAATGTTTTTTTCAAGTGTGCAACATGTTCCTATTGCAGGAATGTGTGACAGGAACAGTAGTGGCCTGAGGGTCTGGGTGGGCCTTTCTAGCCATACGGTATCTAGGCCTGAACATACAGTGAAACAGAAGTCAGGGAGCTCTCAGGAGCCTTCACGTGGACGTTTTTTCCTCCCATAGAGATAACCTATTAGAGCAAAGAAGAAAGGTAATTTCATGGAGCCATCCCGTTTTATAGACAAGGAAACCAAAGGCCACAGAAGACTTGCCTTGTGTCATGAGGAAAGTTTATTAGAATCCGGCTCCTAACTCCAGCTCTAGGGTTTTCCTACTACACCTGGGTGGTCATAACTGAAAATGTTTTGCTTATTTCCAAACAGAAATCATTTTCTACACATTGATTTTAATGATGTGTCTATGCCTGGGGCTGATAACATGAAAACAACGTGTCTGCTTGGGAGAAAATTAGAAACGTCAGCCTTAAAAGGCACTAGGGTCAATTTCAAATGCCTCCCACATGCGGATCCACATTTATCTCCACTAACTCTCAGAGCCCCTCACCCCTTGGCTTCTCTGGAGCATATACAGACCCATCTAAGAAAGCTCAGCTTCTCTTTTTATTGGAAATGTGGTCGCGCGCGTGTGTGTGTGCGCGCGCGCGCGCTCTGAGTTGATCATACCTTTAAAAAGCTGAGTGGCATTCTGCACCTTTTGGTATAGGCAGCTAGTGCTTCTTCCTGTGCTTTTGAAGTTTCCTGGGAAGTCCCTGAACAGCACACCACAAAATTAATCTTTTCCTGTTTGCCAGAGGGTTGCAATACTCTAAATGTGGCTCTGCATCTGTAGGCATGCTCTGGGAAGCCAATTAGGGTGGATGAATAAGCAGAATGAAAACATACCTACAGACCAACCCAAGGCCACCATCAGATGGTGAAGGACTTCAATCACTTACCTGCAGCGTCGTGTCCGTTAGTAGTCAAGAGAAGCATCCCCAGCCCCAACACCCTAGCTTGGTTGCTACTTCTCAGTTCTGGAGCAAGGACTGACAAAAGACACACACGGGCCATAGTTGTTCTGCTGTCCATCAGCAGGAAAAGGGACTGTTGTTCTGTCCATGAAGTGTCACGGACAGGAAGGCAGCCTACCTCCAGTCCGTAGCTCATACTGCAGAAATGGCTGTGACCCTGTGAGTGAGGACCAAACGTTTCTGTGCTCCACTTTTATAAGAGACCACATTTTCTACCACTAAGGGACGTTATCACCATCCGCAAACACCAACAAATTTCCACATAGACTCACTCTCACTTTGCACAAACAGCAAGCATGCTCAGAACTGCACCATGGTCTGAGATGAGGAAGGGCACGCTGGTTTGAAGAAAATGCAGATAATCCATTCTGCTAATACCTAAACTTTTCTGAATGTTCTGGCTTCTCACCATCAAAGCAATGGATCCTACAAGGAGGTTTCTATTCCTGGCAGGCGGTACTTACACCATTGAATGAAAACCCTTTCTCCTCATGTTCCCAGTCCAAATTAAAACAACCCAAGGGACACCTCAAATGTAGGTCGATGAAAGAATGCAAATTTAGAATATTTTACTCCAGCCATCTACATCACACTGCTAGAGATTTGCTGTGATCAGCTATCTTTTAATGCCATATTTCATTAAGTCTAAGATACCATCATTATAAAACACACCCTTTCAAGTACCACGAACAAAAAATGCAGCCAATTAAACTATTGCTTTCTTTATCACTTAGAACTGCTTTGTATACTTATTAAAGAGAGTTCTTGTAGACTTATTTGGACACATTTTATCATACATAACTTTTATGCATATGTAAAAAAGAAAATTAAGCAAAATAAATGAGCTAACGCGATGATAACTGTGTTATGACTGCTGCATAGCCAACAGTAACGATGAAACGACATCAACTGTCAGGCATGGCCCAACTGCAGAGATGTTAAAAATATGAAAAAGAAAATGTGCACCTGAGATTTAATGAATCAGAGTAAGTTTAACAAGTATTTACTAAGTGCCCACACTAACTGCTTACAATGGCCCAAGGTACCGAGGCATCTTAAACCAGAGCTAGAAATTGGTTCTATTATCACTCCCACAGTAATGAGTCTTTCAACGATACCCTTCTCTATACTTGGCTTAAGGCACTTTATCCTGCCTTTCACTGGTCTCATTTATCTTTTTATTAATAACTTTTTGGTTAGAAAAATAGTTAGTTCTTTATATATCACTTTCTCATCAGTTCCACAGCAAGTATCTCAGAGGAACAAAGGGCATCTGAGTAAATATGACTGAGGCCTGAATGCGGGCCTTCCTCACAGCTGACCGTCCACAGATTCAGCCATTCACTACCTGGTGACAGAGCCCAGCCCCGCCTCCAGGGAAGCTTCTGCAAGGCCAACTGCCCACTCTTACAGAGCCTTGAAGTCAAACTCAATGCTTCTTGTTGGAGAGATGTTACTTCCTAACTTTTCTGACAATGGTTTCTTGATACTCTGGACCACGCAGGCCGCAGGCTAGAAATCTTGGCATCAAGTCTGACAATACATTTCTTGTAAAGCCTTTAAATCCAGTCAGAGGAGGGGTCCTGCTCATTTTTCCTTTAAAACATCTCTCCTGTCCATCCCTTTCTCTCCATCCCACTGCCATTATCTTGCTCAGCCCTCAGCATCCCATTTTGTGATTACAATGTCCCCCCAATGTATCTGACATCCTTTCTGCTCCATTTAACTCTGATGACCGCTGCCTAACCCTCTCATCTTATCACTCTCTTACACAAAACTTGCAATGGCTTTTTTGTTCCGCCAGATCAAATCTAACCTCCTTTTACCTAGTATCCAACACCCTCCAAAATCTGGCCCCACCCTACTTAGCTAACTTTCTCATATTACTCAAGGCTTCATCACCTCTGCTCTGATCAGGCCAGAGTCCTGGGAGCCCTATACACATTATTGCCTGGAAGTGACTCGTTCTAGTCTCCTGGCAAACTCCTTTCTCTCTGACTAAATCATGCTTATCCTTCCTGACCCAGTTCAAGCATCAGATCATCCATGCCACCTTCTCTAATTCCTCCAGCACACACTGCCCTCCTTCTCTAAAGTTCTGCCGTACGTCTCATTTTGTACTTCACTCCCTACTCACTTGTTAACTGTTAACTGTATTTGCTAATTATGGTAAGTCCTCAGTTGGATGATAAGCTCTCTGAGGGAATGTTCATGTCTGAACCCCCATAATGCTTAACACAGAATAAGATAATAATAGTACTCAGTAAAAACTTACTGATGGGTTTATTAAACCACGGGAAAAGACAGTTCTGACATTAATTTTGTGGGAAGCCTTTCCATTTGGAAGTCACCAGTGAACTCACTGAAATTATTAGGTCAAGTATAGGCTGTGCTAAACCCAAACTATCAGCTCTAAGGGATTTGATGGATGGCAATTATCAGCCATGAGCAACCTCCTGAGTTTCTCTAATAGGGTAGAACTTTACTTTAATCATTAAAAAGCAAATAACAGTACACCATACTACTCCCTGTGTAGCTCTGTTTCTATCACATCAACAGGAGACTTAGACAATAGTCAGGAATAATCATAGCAGCAAAATTTGGAATTTTCAGTCTTTTCCTTTTTTCTTCTGTTAACCTCTTCAATAATTTTATACACTGTATTAGGAAATGATAAAGGTTTAAGTAAGAGCTTCCATGACAATTCTTACATTTTAGCTCTTCAGATGAGTCTTTATTACACAAAAGATAAAGAGGCTGTGCAATATTGCTAAGCAGATCGTTAGTCTATATATCTGTTTATACATAACAAATTCATTGGCACTGTCTAATTCTGCTCCAAGGCTTACAACCATCAACTCAACCACATCTATAAAATGCTATAGGTTTTTTTAGCCCTGCTCTCAAAAAACTAAATCTAGTACAGAGGGCTAAAAGAAAATCAACAAAGTAGAAATACGATTTCGTTTTAAGCATGACTCATAAGTCTTAAATATTCACCCAGATGAATATCTGTGACAGCATGCTGGAGTAATAACTTATATGTGTTTAAAAGACTACGAACTTTCACAAGTATCCCCTAATTTGATTGTTATGAAGAGACAGGACCGGTATTATTATCCCCACTACAGAGATGAAGCATTTATGGTTCAGAGAGGTCAAGTAACATATCAGATATCACAAAGCTAATAGATTACCTGTCTCCTTGTCTAAGCTCTTGTCATCGGGACATACGGCCAGTTTAGAACATTTAACTGCAGGGAGGAGGGAGGCTACACTGCTAAGAGTGGGCAAAGAAGGAGCTTATACAATCTGGACTGTTTTCTGCAGTTATGTGTATCCTGGAGCCCAACTTTCCAAAGGCAGCACCTTAAGCTACTACTTCAGAGTATTGGATTAATCATGATCTCCAAGACTCTTCAAGTTTAAGGCCTGATTACTTCAGTGGATGGAATTTTAGACAATGTGGTCTTCCTCTAAACAAAGCTTTGCAAAAATTTAGATATGTTAGAACCAAGTTTCCATGGTCAAAGCTAAGAAGAAAAACCAAACAATAGTATGAGTAATTCAGGCATCCAGGAAAA